ATCATAAATTTTCAACCACAAGTACTTAAATAAAATGTATTCTTTATTTTAAATAGTTCTCCCATAGTTCTTTAAGTCAGATGACATCAACTACTTGGCATTTATGGCAAATAATTGAAATTTCAAATTTTATAAGATTATCAGCATGATTAAATTAAATATAAAAAAAGAGAGAATAATTTTATGCATTTATATTTAAGAAACTAGCATTCAAATCAGATATTTGCTTATCACTATTTTAATTTCATGACCCTGAAATTTAAATAAAACTAATATTTCACAACAAAAGCTCACTATAATTTTAAAATTAAGTAAGTACGTTACATGATGTACTGAAAATTCTAGCTATTAAACCTGTATATAGGAGTCAAAAACTATTCGAAAGGTAGTGATAAAATCCAATTAAATACTAATTATATAACTATAGAATAAATCAAAAGCTTCCTAAGAGCAATCTTATCTAAAACAGAAGCTTCATAAAAAGGACACGTGTAGAGTTCAATGTATCTCTGCCTTGACATGTACTGCCTGCGATAAACACCTCTGATTCCAGCCTTCAGGTCATCCCAGATCTGATCTAATTCTATAGGCCTCAATCCATGTGGGTTACCCTGAGATCTCGGGCCAGTGCGCGAACTCCTTGTGGCATGTGTCATTATTTGGAAGGTGGGCTGAAGAGGACAAAATATGTGATGTGCAAGCAAGGGTAGAAAAATCATTCTACTTAATTAAACAACTTATTTTAGTTTTCAAGTTTACTTTGAAAACGGTTGAAAAAGCTGAATAACTTGTTTAGTGAGGTTTGTACATTAATAAAGAACTACCTGCAATAACATAGGATAGTATTACAAATATTTAAATGATAAATTGCAAGTACTGTCTCCTTAAGTTTAAACAATAGGTCTATAAAAAAATAACTTTTATAGTTAGCTAGGCCTACCTCTTATAAAATAAGTTCTGATGAGGGTGATGCAGTATCTTTCAGCATTCACCAATATTTGCAGTTGAGTTATTTACACGCTTAAAAATAAAACTTATTTCACTCATTCATTATTAGAAGTTCTTAAGTCAGAAAAATGTACGATTGATGGGATGATCATTCTGGAAAAAAATTAATAAAACATAATTAAAATTAATGTGGGACCAAAGCTCTAAACAAAAAGATGCATATTGATAAGATAACCTAATAAAAATATTAAAATTCTTGTAAAAATTAAAAAAAATATATGCATTTCTATTGATATTGACATAATCTAGTGAATTAAGTGGAAATTAGAAAAGGTATGCTAAAACTTTACAAATCAAAACAATGAAAAAAATCAGCTCAGGTATTGGCAGATTCCATTACAATATATAGGTCTATAGACATAGGTCTAAAACAGTACAGAACAATACATAGGTCTATAGTCATAGATATACTACAACACATTGGTCTATATGTCTACAAAAGTAACAATACATAGGTCTATAAAAGCATTTCCCAAACTTGGTGGTTATTTCATGACACACTAAATTTATATAGTTTATTTTATTCTGGCAGAGTGATTTGCTAATGGGTAACATTAAACATAATACTAATACAGTTTGTTTTTTTTTTAAAGCAGCAAATACTGCTTTATACTATTACAACATGTAAAGGAACATGGAAAATAATTTATCAATTGGCAGAGTCATTCAAGAGTCATGCTGTTTTTTTTTTAATTTTAATTATTTTAGGTTCGGAGAAATATAGAAGAAGAAGGGAGCCATGCAGTTGTTAAAAAGCGTGGCCTTAATGACTGCAAGCAACAGTTCTTAAAAAGCGTGGCCTTAATGACTGCAAGCAATCAGTATGAGACAGCCATATATACTTTAAAAATTTCAAGTTTAAGCGGGTAATTTGTGTTATATGAACTGTTAGTCTAGTGTTGTCAACCATTTGGGATCATTTGTAAATTTACTGGAATTCTGTAAAAATTTGACCTAAAATGACTTGTCCAAAAAAGTCTTTAAGAACTTTTACTTTTAGGATGTCCGAGTCTAAAAAAATAGGGACATTGAACAAACATCTTTTGAAGCAAAACAAAGCGGAATATCTTAGCTTACGTAATTTCCACTTGATTTGCTTTAAACTTTAATGATCATAAACTGGATGATAAACAGGAGAAATTTAACACCGGCGATGAGAATGCTATAACTAACTATAGGCTGTATTATGAGCTTTTTGGGGTATTATATTATAGATTAGGCTGCATAGTCTATATGCTTAGGCCAATATTATTATAAAGGCGGTGTCTACACGTCCGGCGCGCCGGATATATTATATCTCCCGCACTATTTGTCCGGCGACCAAGTCATATGGCCGCCGGAAGAATACTTTATCGAGATATTCGTCCGGCCACCAAGTCACATGACCGCCTTAAAAAAGTGGCGCGAGATATTTGTCTGTCAGCCTTGTCACGTGACCGAGAATGATTCAAAACTATTGTTAACTTTAAAATCCATTTCTCTACCAAGTAATTTACTGAGTATCTTGCAAACAAATAGTAGAAAAATATACTTGGGTATATTACCAAAACCAGGTGGGGGTTAAGCAATAATGCGTTCTAGAAGGAAGCAATGCTGAGAGGGAGAGAGAATTACGGTAATAAAAAATATGAATGCTAAAAAAATAATAGTGAGGGTGATAAATAATTAAGTTTAAGGCGGGGAGGCCGATAGTTCACAAAGAAATAGACCCTACATCTTAATATAGTAGTAATAGTACTATTAGTTAGTATATAGGCCGACTAGTTTAATATTCAAACACTTTATGTATCTCAAAGCATTTGAATATATTAACATATTCAGCATTTATTTATTATGTAGGTATTGGCTGACTAATATATGTACAAAACATTGGAATATCAAATGCAATGCAAATATTTTGCCGGCGACCACTTATCACATGATCATGACCTGCTGGAATAATAACACCTACTAGTTGTCCGGCGGTCACAAGTTCTGTCTACTGCCGGAATAATATCTTCCACTAGTCGTCTCACATGCCCGCCGGACATATTATATATCTCCCGCATTTAAATTATTAGGCTCAAGCCTCATGGTTGTGTTTAAGTTTAGTAGAGTAATAGTAATACAGTTACTGTTACAGACCTTGAGTTCATTGACATAAAAACAAGTCTATGACAATAACTATAATGAATATTATATTATTTATATTTTTTAATAATTTAAAACTTTGTTTTTGTTAATATTTTTACACATTTATTTGTTCTTTAGTTTTAAGCCTAACTCTAGAGATTTAGTAAGAATAAACATTGACATACTTTACTTAGAACTTAGACTAGGAACATGACATACTAAAACTAAAAGGCATATTCATAGTAATCATAGGGCATGATAGGGCCTATATTTAAAATTAAAAGTAACTTTTAGTTTTTTCGGATGGCAACAATGATCATTATTACATAAATTGAAGAGTTCTAAGGTCACAATTAACATTTTAAAGACTGGCTTAACGAACTAAGTCATTTAAAATTTAAAGATGTATAATTTTCTTGAGATTTGACAATGAAAGATTTATTTGTGAAAGAATGATTGAGTTGGAATGGACTCCATTCATTGATTGCCACTCATTGCCAGACCTAATTTAATACTATTACTACTAATAGTAATATAACACAAAGAGATAAATATTATTTTATAAAAACAACAAAGAGAAAAGTTTCATAATATATAAAGATCTTATAATTTGTCTAATTAGTAGATTATACCTTAAAGATAATCATATATATGGTAAATGCGACAAAACAAAGCCAAGCAATTTTATCGTAACCACCTTCTCCGTGACTGAACTAGAAAGATATGAACAGTTATGGCCCTTGGCAGTTGAGGGCGCTGTCAGCATTCTCATGGAACCCTTTTTCCCCCCTCACAAAAAAGGCCTAATCGCGAGGCCTACCTGATCAAATACACACTATCCATTATTACAACTTGATTTGCAAAGCCCTAAATATGTGTACGTGTATTGTCAGCAGTATTTGGTAGTAGCTTGATGTATTTGCATGGATTTTAGTTTTAAATCTGCATAAAAACCTTTCTCCTCCATGGACCCCAGTCAGGCCCCCTCTAATATTTGCTTATCAAGAACATTGTATAAATAAGACTAATTAACACAATTAATTTGAGTAAGATAATAAATATAAAATAAATTAATATAAATTATAATTTTATTGAATTACATTTATAGACATACAAATTAAGTAATAGCAGTAGTAAACACGTTTATGGGTTATTTACTCACTAATTATAATATAATATTAAATAGGCATATGCCTCTTTCTAAATCTAGGCTACACACATAGCTGTAACTGTATGCTGTTTTTAACTTTCTTGTGTTCATTTGACAAAAACAATGAAATGTGACAGCTAGAATTAAAATATTTTCACTCAAACCGCTACATGTGGTGTTCTTATATTTTTACGTCTTTAACACTGTCCCTAATAACTTATTATAATATTTTCTTTTAACGATCAGAGAAAACTGAAAATATTACCATCTTAATTAAAATTTGGCAATAATATCGTGAAGAAATTTAAAGAAAGAAAGCTGCAGAATTTTTCATAAAAATAAAACCTTTTTAAATTTAAAATACAGCATTCGCTTTTAATAAATGGAGAGAGATATAAATGAGTAGGTAGGCGTTTATGCTGTACTATATTTTCATTTAGTTTTAGTACCACGGCAGCATGGTTAATTAGCTTCTCATTGTCATATCATATGAATTGTTTTGACTTATCCATTGTAATAGCACAAAGATGGATTATCATTGATAGGCCTATATACCCTGATATTTCAATCAGGTTCATTAAAAATTTTTAAAAAATATAATGTAGGCTACAAAGCTTTTGGTCTTTTAGAAAAGAAATCTAAAAAAAATTAAACTTAAATGCGGGTTATTATCAAACAAACACTGCAAATCGGATGCTTATGTACTAATAGCATGGAATAAAGGGGGGCTATGCACATTCATTTATTGTTAAAAATGGCCGCAGTGGGTACATTGAACGACGAAGCTTTGAAAAGAAAAGACCGTTTAAAAGCTATGCGTGAAAAACATACAGTTTTAAATGAAAATAATACCGAAGCAGATCCTGTAGAAAAAGAAAAACTTCCAAAGTATGTCATTTTATGTAATACATGACCATATTAGTTATTACAATCGATACATTAATTGCCAGCATCATTTATATTTTTGACGAATTATTATAGGGACTTGGTAAGTTAACGGAGACTACTACTTTTTGTGTATGGGAATTCGCAATCGGCGCCGAAAAATCCGAGTTTTTAATTTTCCGATGTGTGTGTCTATTTATTATTAAATTTGTACTTTCGATATATATTTGAGTTCCGTTTTCGGCCTTATCTTATAATTAGGTAGACATCTTGGCCTATATTTTAATCAATTTCTTTTTCATTTACAATCAGTCAGCTTTGAGAAAATCCTTGGTATAATTAAATGATGATAAGACTGAGCTGCTCCCCATCGCGACCGCTCAGAAGCAAAAATCTGCAAATAACACTACATCCATTACTCTCTCAGGTGTGCGTATTGAGTTAGCTCAAACAGTGCGGTACCTGGGTGTCTACCTAGATGGAAGACTAACTTTTGAAAGTCATATTAACATGCTATGCAAGGCGATTTTTCTAGAGCTGCGCAGGATTAGTCACATCAGGCCCTTCCTAACAATTGATGCAACAAAGAGGCTGATGTCTGCATTTGTGCTATCACGCATGGACTATTGCAATGCTCTTATGGTGGGTCTTCCAGCTACGCTCCTGGATAAAATTCAAATAGCACAGAATAATGCGGCTCGCATTGTTCTCCGCAAACGCAAGTTTGACCATGCAAAAACACTTCTGAGAGAGCTGCACTGGCTGCCAGTGCGTGCTCGCATGGAGTACAAAATCGCAACTTTGTGCTACCGCTGCTTACATGACCTGGCGCCGTCCTATCTGAAAGAGCTGCTGACGCCTTATGTACCCACTAGAGAGCTCCGCTCATCCGATAGTGGCAAACTCTCGACACCACGTGTTTGCCTTGAGACTTACGGAAAGCGCACTTTCGCATTTGCTGGTCCACTAATTTGGAACGCCCTTCCTGTCGATCTCAGAAACAACCAGACACTGGAGTCCTTTAAAACCGATTTAAAGACACATCTATTTCGCAAACACCTTCTGGGATGATTGTCAACATTATTTTCCAGTTAATGCATAATGGCTGTGTTGCTTATGGTTGAAATGGCTAGAAAGACTTTGCCATTGTATGCTTGTACTTAGTTTTTGTCGTGTTGCGTTTGTTTTAAATGTGGTCAACTATAGATTTGTTGTTTTTTTTTTTTTTGACTTTGTACCGCGCTTCGAGCCTTTGGGGATGAAGCGTGTTTTTGAAATGAACTTTATTATTATTATTATTATTATTATATATAAGGCAACTTTCATCATTAAAATTAAGTCAAGTCGAAGGAAAAAAATTGTCACTACCAAATTTTTTTTGCATCTGGGGAATCTATTGTCAGTATTGATCTACATGTATGCCAATTTTCACAGCGATAAGTGTCTTACGAGAGACGCCATGTTTCTACGCGTTCGCAGCAGGTCATTCAGCTCGCTCAACCTAATTTCGCCATGGGGTGGGCCACGCCCCCTTTTTAATGGCGGAAGTTGCCGATACTTAGGAAAAACCAAAACTAAGACCATCGGTGAATGCTCCTTCTGCTTCCATGGGCCCACGTTGTGGAACCAGCTCCCCTTCCATATCCGTCATTGTGAAACCTCGTCCATTTTCAAAAAGTCCCTTAAAACTCATCTGTTTAGGTCCGCCTATGACCTGTGATGCACCCTCCTTGCCCTGCCTCATTTTCAGTTTCGGGTTGATCCTGAAGTATAGGCCAAAACGTGTCAAAGTGTCCTCCTTTTATAGCCATTTTCATTGTTTCTATAGTATAGTAGTTACTATCCTAGCGTCTCATTTTTATTTTACTTAGTTTACATGTTTTTAATAATTGTAAAGCGGTTAGAGCTTTATGGTAAGCGCTATATAAAAATGCCTAAATAAATAAATAAATAAATAAATATTAATTTATTATCACTATTTACATCAAAATAATTGATAACTTGTGTTTCAGAATGCATTTTGAAGACATTTAAACTGGAATGTTTTAATTTGAGCTTTAACAACCCGGTAGAATCCATATTATAAATGATCAGAATTTACCGTGTGCAACAGGTTGTCATTGGCAACCATTCACAGCCACTTGCATAATGGCTGTATCGTAGTACTACCTCAGAGTTTCATTCATAAGAGTTTGCTGTGTGCAAAAACTACTATACCATTGGTCAGGGAAAGCTTTAATTAATTATTCATGTGCCAAAGTTGAAAGTTTAAACTAAGTCGACCCTAAACAGTATTTTAGTGATAAGGCGATGCGTTGCCTTATATAAAGTATATAGTCATTGCGCATGACGCGATCAGCGGAATGAGGTCACAAGATGTGGAGGTTTTGTCCATAGTAAAAAATACCAAACAAACTCACACTTTAAAAATTCATAGCTCAAAAAGTACTTAAGCTAAAAAGTTGATTCTGGTTTCATTTTTTTATTTGAAATTTGCTCTAACTAACAGTGTCATTTAAAAAATTATTTAAATTTTATTAATTGACTAGTATTACTACTAGTTACACTAGTCAGTACAGTACTAGTACTAGTTGCAGTAAATAACAAGGACCGAATCTCCACATTCTGTGACCTATTTCTGCTGTTCGCGTCACAAGCTATAACTCATTTTAATTATTTTATATGACTTTTAGGCTAAATCCGAGGACGGCTGTCATGGCATTTTTTGTGTGTATATTATAGTTGCAGTGAATTAGGGTTTAGGTTAGGTTGAGGGATCGATTTAGGGTTCAGGTTAGGCATAGGGATCAATTTAGGGTTCAAGTTAAGCATTGGGATCGATTTAGGGTTCAGGTTAGGCATAGGGCATAGGGATCGATATTATAGGGATACATTCGTGAAATTCGATAAAATAGTGGCAGGCGTCCCCATTGTTTACCGACTTTTATTTTCAGAATGAATTCAGAATACTGCATTTAAAAGTAATTTTAAGTAATGCAATTATACTTTAAGTCATTACTGACATTAGTCATTGTAAATTATTGCTATGCAGCGTATGTACTATGACTATGTATATCAGTAAATTAAATATAATATATTAAATTAATATACGGCTTTTCGTATCCGGAAATTTCGTCGAAAGAAATTTCGTCAACGGTAAATTGATGGACGGAAGTTTGATCGACCGGAAGTTTGGTCGAACGGAAATTTGATAGACCGGAAGTTTGGTCGAACGGAAATTTGATCGACCGTAAGTTTGACCGAACGGAAATTTGATAGACTGGAAGTTTGGTCGAACGGAAATTTGATCAAACGGAAGTTTGGTCGAAAGGAAATTTGATCGAAACAAAGTTTTTGTGTGGTTTTTTTGGTGGTTTTTTGTTGTAAATAAAAGGCTGCTTACTTTTGCCAATGCTCAGTTCAGACATTCAAAAGTTCGATAGTTAAATCTCTTTTTGAACGCACTGTATAGTAGTGCATAGTAAAACAAAATAATGTGTGCAAAAAGAAATTTAACGCAAAATTTGATAGTGTGAACTATGCAGCAAGTATTAAGACATTCGAATTCGTGTGTGAAATTGTGGAAATCTATAATTATACTTATTACTAATACTACTACTACTACTATATTTTAGATTTTGAATTTATTTTATTATTTTCTTCCACGTTATTATATAATGTGTAAAAATGATAATTAGTTGTTTTTTTAAATGATACAATTTTGTTTATTTTAACATTTCCTTGTCAAAAGAGAGTTTTTGTATACTAAATGTTTGCAACATTTCATTTATAATGATATGATTTAGTATGTTTCCTTGGAAACAAGATGTCCGCTCTCTCGGAATTTACCATACATTTTTAAGGTTATAAATACGAATAGTAATCGATTCAAAATCAAACACAATGTCTGGAATCTGTGTAGTGTAATGTAAATGAAAATGTCAGTAGTACTCAGGTCACTTGGTCTACTAGGTTGGGCTTAGTTTAGTCATAGTTTAGAAGCCTAGGCCTAGGCCAAAGACTTTGTAAGATTAAATTTTAATTAAGGTTTGCTTAGAAGTTGTAGTAGAAGTTTAAGTTAGTAAATAATGGTTTAATAACACCTTCACCTGAATTATTATAAAAATATCAGATGTCAGATGATGTACCTTACTTTATAATTTATACCAGTAGTAGTAGTAGTAGTATATAAAAATATAATTATAATTATAAATATTATTCTAAAAATATTGCAGGCTAAGTTTCTATAATATTATTAATTTACTTTTTTGTAGCTTGAGACTTAATATTATGAATTACAAAGTCGGCCTAATGGATACATTCAAGAAGAAGAGCTAAATTACATATAAGTAATACTATTTAATGGGGTCTACACTAAGGAGAATTGTGAAAATGTTTCATGAGCTAGCGAAAATGAAATTTTGTACACATAAACCTCAATATATTTGGATTACAAAATGAAAGACATACTATGAACATTTCGATTAAATTTTTATAATGACAGATGCTTTATATTGAAATAGGATTTTCCTCAATTAAAGATAATATAAATAAAAATAAAACTCTTATGGGAATGTAGGTCAAGATGTCTTCTAATGTGTAAAGGACTCCTGCTATATTAAAATTACACTCACATGAAAACATTAAAAACTCAGATTCTATTCAACTTCAACATTGAATTGAGAGGGCCACTTGCAAAACCTGCAAAGTCATGTTTTGAAAAAAAAAATGAGTTAGTCTTAATGGCTGGTTTGTTAAGTGTCAATTTACTGTATTTTATGTATTCAAGGAATCAAGAACTTCATTAAAGTCTAAAATGTCACTATCATCATCTTAATGTCCCTTAGTCCTTGGACCGTTGGGGCGCCACAGATGACATTTGAACTATCCTCCATTTGTCTCTGTCTTCTGCACTACGCACAGCATTGCCTAGTTTTAGTACCGTCCACTCATGTTATCCTCCCATCTTTTTCTTTGTCTTCCTCTTCTTCTCCCTCCTCTTGTGGTGCCCTGCATGATTTCTTTTGGCGAGCCCTTGTTTCCTTGTCATGTGGCCATACCATTGTAGTTTGCGCTTTTTTTTTTACAGTCACCAGCAGGTCATCGTACTGCCCAATAGCCTGGCGAACCTTTTCTTTCACTTTATCATTGGAGACATGGTCCCTATAGCAGATGCCAAGAATGCTTCTGAAACATCTCATCTCCATCGCCTTTATTTTCCTTTCAAGTTCTACTGTTAATGTGCAGGACTCGCTATAACAAAATTTTAAATGATAAATCACTATATAATAAAGTTTATTTACAAAAACAGGATAGTGTAGGATTATGTTGGCACATCTGTTAAAAAAAATAAATATATACATACATTATGGCTAATGTTGGTTAAGCACGCCACTTTGAGTTTGTTTGTGTAGGATTCACTCCCTTTTTTAAAATTTGTGGATTGTTGCTAGACTAACTTTTCTTTCTTCTTAAAAAATATTAATAAACAGATGGCATGTTTTAAATTATAATTTCATTGGGTGGTTAATTATAATATTTAAATGAGTTGTCAGAAAAATCAATGCAATACCCTTTTTCCAAAATGACATAAAATTTAAATGTTAATTATTATTAAATCATGAGTACTGGTACTGTCGACTTATTGGACAGAAACAGAAAATTGATGCGCTGGTACAGTTGGCTCATGAGAGTCAAAGAGTTAGATTTACTTTAAAAATAACTTTTAAAAACAATTTTTGAAGACCTATCTTACTGAATCCTAGCAGCCTATCTAAAGTAAGTTGTGAATATCTATTCTAAAGTGCCTATACATTTTTCATACGGCTATTCAACTATTAATAAACATACAATTGAAGAACATTGGCTTTATAGTAAACATTACATTTTATTATTTAATTATTATTACTGGTATTAAATGTAAAAAAAATTTTGATTTAAAATTAACTGTTTAAAGTTGTATCTTGTTTTCTGTTATAATTGTTGTCAACATCATTGTACAATCATAGCTTATAACTAAATCAAATTTAATCAAATGCCTTTCATATGTAAAAAAAAATAGGGCATATTTTGGTGGTTTGGCTCATAATGAACAAAAACTTTTAACTAATAAACCTCTAGGAACTGAACGCACTCTTAAATCAATAACTTCCTGTAATTAATATTGTTACAGTATCAGTTTTATGACCCGTATTATTACCATTGTACTATAGTATTAGCAAACTAATGGGCAATTAATTATAAATTAGGAACCTAATATTAATAAGGCCAATTACATGACATTTTATCCTATTCCTAGGATAAATTCCTGTAATAAATTTTTGTTCTGTAATATTTATATTGAACTTTTTCCATAGTATTAATATACTTTGAGATCCCTTTGTGGTATTCACGTGTCTTGGTAAAACTTAGTAAAATAATAATTTCAAAGAAAGCTTATTTAAATTTTAAGGAATATTACTTTCTTATGTAATGAGACAAATAAATTATAATGATATAATTTGGAAATTTCAAGATATTTAAACAGAAGAACTGTGTTTTGTAAAGAAATAAAAATGTATATTTCATTATCAACTTGTGACATCTGGAGTTGTTTGGATTACTTATGTATTGTGTGCGTTTGTCAGTCTCAACAAATGCCTAGATACCCAAATCATAAATCACAGAGAGGAGCGATCCTGTACCAACCACCGCTGTGTCAAAATAGTTTCTGATAAGTCAGGACCAAAGCCTTCCTCGTAACACCCGTTCTGTGACAGCAAAGTCTCAATCCAGGATTGGTCTGTTGGTCACAACCCTTTTTTTTTAATTTCCCGATGAGCATCCTTGTAGCCCAGGCTACGTAGTTTTGCTATTTGTTTTTGTCAAGTAGAAAATGTAATTTGTAATGCAAAATGTTTGCTTCTTGTTTGGTATGTGCTGGTGTGTGTGGTGTGTCATATAAGTTAGAACATTTGTTTAAACGTTTGTTGTCAAGCACTATGTGATGTATTTTATGTACCGGTATCCATGATAGTTGTCTTTGTTGTAATGGAAAGTGTGTGGAATTTTTTGATAGTTAGAGCAGAATCTTTGGTTAGAGAAAAAAAGTCTTGATTGAGTTGTACTATTGTATATGAATATTTATAATTAGTAGTTGAGAAGGAAATATTAAGTAGAATCATTATTAAAAGATAGTATTCAAGAAAGTATTGTGTTACTTGTAACTCAATCCGTAATGTTTGGATGTTTGTATATATTAATCCCACTGACAAATGAGAGGACTTTATTATATACCGGACTTATGTACCGGTATCTTGAGTGAGATTATGTCATATCATATCATATCAGAACTATACATTACTCATGCCGACACACACAAAACGAAGTGTTCAATTATTTCCCACTCTATTAGAAACAGAACATTTAATGCTACATTTTATTTTAAGAAATATATACATTTGAAACTTACTTTGCATTATTCACAATGCAAATTTTTTTTTTATTATCTAAGACCAACATTCAGAAGCTACAAACCAGAGAGTCAATCTTTAAAGGAACAGACAAAAGAGGCTGTGAAACCTGCAGATGGTAAGAATGAATGTCAACCATAATTTTTAAAATTAATGGCACTAGAATGAAAACTTTGACTAATGTCAAGGATATGATAAAAGCATTTAATCTATTTCAAAAATTGCATATGGTAGGTGTAGGGATTGTTTTTTTTTATAAAGATTTTTCTTGCTGATAAGTTTCAAGCACTACAAATACAAAAGGTGAAAAGAGAATTAACATGGCATGTCTAAAAAAATATGTTCTGAAAAAAAATATTGATTGTGTTATGAACTGGTTTCACAAGTGTGGTCAGGTTGCGGATGGAATGTGATGAGCCGGGGGTGAATTGTTTACTTAGACCTAATTATGTGATTGGTCGAGGTGTAAATGGCAATAAACAATTGAGGCAATTTGCTGTGTAGATACAGGTTGCAAGTATTTAATGTTAGAGTGCTGTTAGTGTGTTAAGCTATGTTGGCAGTGAGTTTTTCTAGCTGGAGGGTATTAGAGTCATTGTGTAATGTTAAGATATTGATCAAATCGACTGAGACTTCTGGCAAGGCAGGTGTTCCTTTTTTGATTTTATAAATTATTATACTTGCGTAGCTCTAAATAAAGAACTGTACTATTTGCAACCTGGTGTTTTACTGATTATCATCCAATGTGGAAGAAAGCATTTGTTGTACAGAGTTGAACAGTCCGTTCAGTAAACGTACCTACTGCAGGAGTTTTTTTAAATTGTGAACTAGTCCTAAGAAGGACTAGTTTGCAACATTTGGGGGCCTTTTCAAAACAGCTTGCTTTAATTATATTTTGACTATTAATTTTTTTTCTGAATATAGTGAAAGAATCTATAAAAGATCAGTTGGAAGCTGGAAAAACAGATCATGTTGTTACAGAAGTGGTAAGTTTTGTAAAGTGGTAAGTTTTTTCATGTTTGTTGCTACAGAAGTTGTTACAGTTAAGAATTTCAATTGCATTTCTTTTTTTTTTAATGTCATATAAGTATATAAGCAACAGAGATATGAAAATATAATTCAATTTAAATGGTCTATTTAATAAATGAATTGTCAAAAATGTTTATAGAACTGAAGCTGCTCATTGGTAATATAAATAGGTTTTTAGTCTACGTGATAAATAATGGAAATGAAATTCGATTTTTGCATAAATGTTTTTATAAATTGTACATATCAAATACAGTTTCTTACTATCCCAAAATAAATTTAGATTAAATTCCTCACAATGACTTTTTAAAAACGATTATTAGATTGAATTTGATTATTCTAAACATGACTTTAAAATTTCGATTTTCTTAAAAGGATTTGAGCAACTTAGCCCCACGTAAACCTGACTGGGACTTAAAACGAGATGTCAGTAAGAAAATTGAGAAGTTGGAAAAAAGAACACAAAGAGCGATTGCTGAATTGATCCGTAAGAATTTGCTCTGCTATAAAACTATTTAGTCACTTACTTCCTCAAGAAGCTATTGATTAAATCCTGAAACAAACTTAAGTTTTATTTTTTTGTGTATGATTCATAAAAATCTTTAACACTTTCTGTAGACTTCTTTTGTTGTCAAAGTTTGTAGGAGAAAGACAGTATAATAAATTTGCCTTTGAATCTTGGAAAATATGATTTTTAATAAATATTAAATTGATATAATTGCAAATGTGATATAAAATCAACTGTGATAAAAAATTTGGCATGACTTTTTAAGAAACAGTAATTTGGGGTAGGAAGTTAAGCATGATCACACAATTGTAAAAATATGTTGAAATATTAAGCTTACAAAATGGGATGATGCAGTGAACAAGTAAGTTACCGTAATTTAAAATATATGTAAATATATGAGGCGATATATTTTAATTCATGGCTTTATTGCACCACATGATATGAAAGTATTTATTTATTTTTTACCAGTTTGCAATCTCTTTCTGAGAACTTGTTTTCTCATGAATTAATTCTGTGTCTATTGCCTTGAGTTTAAAAAAAAAATTATTTGACAGCAGCTTAAAAAATATATTTTATAAATAAAAATTCATTTTATCTTAAAGCTTTTAGTTATTTCTATAATCCATTGTGAGGTATTTGTCAAGAATTTGTGTATTCTTTCTGCAGGTGAAAGGTTGAAAGCAAGTCAAGAAGATTTAGCATCAGTTGTCATGGGAGAAGTAATGACAAGGGTTAGAGTTAATGATGAAAATTAATTTCCTCTGCATGATTATGTAATTTTCTGAGATGATTAAAAATGATAAATTGTAACATTGACTTGAGTGAGAAAAAGTACAATAATGAAAATGTGAATGAATGACTGTTGTTAGCCAAGCAGTAAAAGTTTGTGAATGTGTGTGTGTGAGAGAGAAAGAGAGATCTGATAAAACATCTTTTGTAAATATGATTTTTTAAAATTACTTTATGATTCATGACTTGTTAGATGCAATATTGAAATAAAAACATACTTATCAATTATGTTTACTTATGTTGTTTTTTTAAAATTCATTTTACAATATATCAATAAACTTTTCTATAACATCAACTAAAGATATACAAATGTATACATTTTGTATAAGGTCAAAGTCTTAACATTTATAAATATTAGTAATTCACATAACTAAAATATCACATGAAGCAATGTAAATTTAAATAGCTTTCAACCTCCCTCAGTTTCCTCAATTATTGACTAATGTAAATTTATAGGAGCCAAAAAATTGTGATTAATCTGAATAAGGAGTCACATGTTTTTCCAAGGAATGTTACAAAACCCAACTTGAGACTAAGTTCATCGCCAGATGCTATGTTAAATGTTAATGACACTCTTTAAAAACAATAATTATATACAAATTTAAACACAAACACTAGTAACAAATAGAAGTTAAAGTCTAAAATTTCAATTTCTTTTTTTTCTTCACTTTTTCTTTTGCTGCCTCTTGCTCCAATTTCCTTTCCAACGCCTGACGACGGAGAAACTCTGAATCCTGCATGCGAATAAATATTGAGTATTTAAACATCAAATTTAAATGACTTGTTTCATTTACTATCAATATTCTAAATATAAATGATTTCTTAAATTAAGTAATGATAACGTTTTCAGATTTTTAAAAATCTTTTATATTATTTTATATTAACTTTGCTTTTGTTTGTGTATTTCTTTATTTCTGAGATGATGGCGAAATCCTGGAAGGCTAATTTACCCACTTCCTTTCAGCCTATCACATTGAAGCTTGGCTCATAAACTCATTGCCAATGACAACACATTCTGCCAAATCTTCAGCCCTACCCCACCACCCCCAAAAATCATTTTTAACTCTACCAGATAATTACAGAGAATTAATGAAATAAAATTCCTGTTAACTGCGCAAAATGAGATTCTTAAAAATATCACAAGTGCGTAATGTTTTCTTTTGTTTTACGAAAATGGTGTAATAAATCTGCTGGGCAAAAGAATATTAATATATTTTAGGGGCAAGAAAAAATATGCGGTTGGGGGGGGGGGGGGGGGGGGTGGGCGGCACTAAATGGGATTCTTTTAAAGTGCCTGTTATTTAAATGCATGTTTTGTCAAATTTTCAGCCCCAACCCCATTGCTCCATATTATAAATAATAATAATAATTTTATAAAGAATTTATACAAAAACACTTCGCTTGATTGATTAATTACATACTTAACAAAAAGATTGTTTTTAAAAAGGGAAAAACAACCAGTGTTATTGTTAAGATAATTCCAATTTAAATACCTGTATGTAATTTGAAAAAGTAAAAAATCAACAAAACACAAAAGAGAACAAGCAAAACATATACTTACTTTAACAGGCGTCTCAGTATTAGATCCTTGAACAGATTCTGAACAATTTGAAGATTTTTCAGGAGAAACTCTGCTAGATGCAAAGTTAGAGGGTGAAATATTTTTCGGAACTATTGATGCTGGTACACGGTTAGACCAAGATTCTACACTGGGGCCCTCTGGTGGTTCATTTAAGCTCTCAGAGGGATCACGTTCAGCATCTAAATGAACCAAAGAATCAAATAGTTCAAACTTTAAAAAGTTAAGTTGAATAATTCATTGCTTGAGTATAAATTATAAACAAAGTTAAGTTGAATAATTCATAGCTAAAGTACAAACAGTGTTAAGGAAGATTTTTTTATTTTAGCTTGTGGTTTTGTGAAAATATTTTTCATATTACAAATTAAATGTCTTAATTTCTTACTTTCACCTTTAATAGGAGAGCTGAGCAGCCATGCACGTTTGGTATTAATTTCTCTGTATAAATCTTGCGCAGTCGAAGTGAATGCTTTCTCCCCATATGTTTTGATTTGTTCCTCAAAGCCCTGAAAAAAATTAACTTTTTTGAAAAGTTTCACAGAATTTCAAAGCTAATTAATTTAATGACCGTTTTTTTATGTTTGTAAAGTTTCTCCCTTTTGAAACTGTCTGATACTAAGGTGTTGTTTATGAAGTTAACATAAATTTCATAAAGCTCTTGAATGTTCATAGTATTATACCTTAGGAAAATTTCAAAACACTAGCCCCACCAATTTTTTTGGTCTAAATTTTGCTTCCTGTTCCGAATTTCTCGGTCCTCCTCAAATGCCTGTGATACTGCATCACTTGATCCAAATTAAGAAAGTTAAACAATAATAGTGTTTTAGCTGTTGAAAGTGATTGGGAATTCATTGAAAAAAAAACCAACTGGTTTCCATATCATATTAGCCAAAACAATCTGATTTTAACATCTCAAGCCTAATCCTAATAATGTTACCTAACAAATGAGCAGACCACACCCATATGTGCTTATATGGAATGAGTCATAACAAGCTTTTTTTTTTCATCCCAGACTCCACCTGATCACTTAAAATGTTTTAATTTCACTCCCACCCAAAAGAAAAAAATAAGTGAGGGAAAAAAAAAAAGAGGTCTTCATGTTTTAATGTTCAATTTTACTGCCAATTCAGGTCATAAGATTCACAATTGTAGGATAAGACTTACATTCATATATCTGCCCACTTTTAAGAAAATCTCTTTCACTTTCACCAGTAGTTTACATCATGAATCTACCTGTATTCATGTTCCTAAATTTACTCTCATGGTCAATTTTCTCAAGATTCCAATTTTTGGTTTTTAATTTAAAAATCACTTATTTTGATTCACTTATGGCAATGTAACAAAAACTATTTCATGATTGGGATAGAAACAATCCAGCAGAATTTCAATGGTAGCAGTAGTACTATCCTCATTTTATTAGGTGGTTTTCGGAACAAACATAAAAGTCCCAAGGACATTATTTAAAGACAGTAATTTGCTTTTGAAATCAAAGTGCTTTTTTTTTTCCTCTTCCTGACACACCTTGGAAGTTACCATACTATTGCAGAATGCCACATCATCAAAAGGAGCAGTCTCTAACCATTCTGTTAATAGAAAAAAAGTGTTTTGACAACTAAAGCAATGAAAATTTGTTATAAATTCTTCATTGAATTGACATTTAAAGAAGAGAGAAATGCATTTTCATTTATTCTATTGATTATTACAGAAAGATTTATTTGAATAATTTTTATTTTGCTCTGAACTCAAGCCTGTTTTTAAATAGTTAAAGCAAACAACTGACTGGCAAAGCCAGACCCAGGAAATGCATTCTGATTGAGATAGTCAATCTTAAAGTCAATGGTAAAGATCTTGACCCAATCATTTCACAGTAAAAGTCCACTTGTCTTTTAAGCCATAAACCAAATAAGAAAAAAATGGACAGATAAAACCTAGTGTATATGGTAACTAAATATAACATTGCATGCTGAAGTTTGATATTCTAGGTCAATACAAACTGCTTGAACGTAGTTTAATTTTATCAGAAAATGTTTCCACTAATTAATAACTACAGGAAGACACAGAATAATGAAGATAAAGTTCAGTTTGTCAAAACTACAATTTAACTTTAGGATAATCCCTTTTTAAGACTGGAGATGAACTATATATTTTGGGATGTCTAGAAAATTATTTTGGTCAGGTTTTAGAGTTTGTTTAATAAAAATTCTTTCACCAGTACCTACTTCTTGAGACTTTAGCACCTTGAGACTTATAATCATCAATCTGTTTGTCCTTGGCAACCAATATTTTAAATAGCTCTTGCTGTTGTCTAAATAGTTCTCCAACCATTGCCATGAGAGGAATGGTTAAGTGGTCCCGTCCCTTTAAAATAATTCATTAAAAAAAATATAAAAAATTCAGAAGTCATAGAAGTACATATTTATTTCTGTTTTCTAGTCTACTTAAGTTATAGTTATGTTAATAAAGTACAGTTAAACAGATGTCATTTTAAAATTAGAATTTATATGTAAATTAAATAAAAATTTACAAACTGTTTCATTGTTTGCCAACTCTGCTTCACAGGTATAGCTGAAAGGCATGCCCTCCAAATGGGAGTTAATATTTAAAATAAATGTGTCATCTCTTCTAAGTGAAGTGAGCTTGGTTTCTTTGCCTGGATTTGAAATGTTGTCATGGATCTGGTCCAAAATGGTACGAAGTGATGCTTCAACACATGGATTCAGTTTCTATGAGAAACATATGAAAAATCTTTAAAAATAAATTGTATCAATATAATATAATAAAATGTATAAAATAATTTGTTTTTTAAATTTTCGAAGGTTAATTAAAGAAAAAGTCCCTAGTAACAATCTTTTTAAAAAAAAGGTTTTAAAATTCATGCAGCCACACAAACATTTAGTACAATGACTTTGCCATTTTGTTAAAATATATTATTATTGTTCATCCTTTGCATGCAATGATGACCAGGGCTTAGAATTGTGTATAGCCTTGACTTGAGCTGTATTTTGTTTTAAAGTGAGGGAAAGTTGCTCAATTCATCCGCCTAATTGTTCCAATGGCAAGACTTAGTCAAGACAACTGGAAATAGACCAGCCTACAATTAATTCTACAAAAAGTTGTTAAAAGATTGTTCAGAAACTCTTCTATTTCTCATACTCATATGTTATAAAGCTTATCAATAATGTGAATTTATCACAGACTGGTAAATGGAAGGGTAATGGGTGCAAAAATTACAGTGCACCTCTATTTTCAAACACCATAAGAGGTTTATATGATCAAATTGGAATTCATAGTATTATGTATTGGTAAATTGTTATGATATCAGGTTACGTACTACTGTTATTTACATCTGACCATTTTGTTGCCTAAACATGATATGAAAAGGCAAACTAAGTAACTTTATTGTATCTCTTAGCTATGCATCAATAAGTGTGGATGACCAGAAGTAGTCAAAATCAGCATATAATTTTTAGAGGTAGACCTTTGTATACCAAAAAGCTCAATAAAACACAGACAATTTCTCTATATCATTTTTAGCTAATGAAGTAAATTATTTTAAAAATTATCAGAAAAAATTAACCTGACATCAGCAGAGGTTGTTCTATAAAAGATGATTTAAAAATAAAATTACTTGGCACTCAAAGCAAAAATACTCTGATTAGTTCTTAGCATCAAATCAATAGATTACAAAAAGTTATTTAGTAATGAGTTTTTGAAAGTAAAAATTATTTAAACTTTTTTAATTATTGTTTTTCCCATTAGTCTATTATATTGTTAATTTACATCAAATATTGTATTTTAATTTATTAAGATGCTAAAATATGATTTTACCCAAATATTTTCACTAGAGGTTTAAAATTCATATGTATTGAGAAATTATTTTTATTATGATATATTATATAGTATTTTAATAAAATAAGTTATAAGTAAGTTTAATAATATTGGAGTTATTTTTGCCTTTGGTCTTTACTCTTTAAGTTTAAGGTACATTCATAATGCAGATTTGTTACTTTCTGTGACCACATACCACTCGCTGCAACAAAAACGGGGGCAACAAATTTAATTTTCACAGGTTTGTTGAGTGTTGCAGTATATTGTCTGCTGTCAATTTTTACAAAAATAATCTCATCATATCAATGCACATTCATTGTAATCTTTTGACAAGTTAGTAACATAGTAACCAGTAGAAAATGGAGTAGCCACAAAAAAATTGCACAACAAATTTAATATCAACAGACTTGTTTATAAATTTTAATTATTAGTTGTATTCCATAGTAATAGACCGATAATTTGTAGTTTGAAGATTTGGCTTTATTGGAGTGGGAAAGACAAGAAAAGATTTTAAAGGAACAATGTCTTGTTTTAAAAAATGGAGTTAATTCAAGATTTTATAATTTTATCTTTAAATTTCCCTTGCATGTGTGGTTATAGTATAATAAGTAAAATCATATCAAAAGAAAAAAAGCCAAATTTAATCATTTAAAAAGAGCCACAGTTTTCTGACAAATAGGCTAGTACACATGCATTTAAAATTAATGTATTATGAATTAACATGTCATAGCTGTGCCTGCTCAAACTCAGTGTTATGGTTTCGCAACATGGATTCACCACTGAGACGTCTGAGATTTGTGGCTTCATCAAATCCACATTGTGAATGTACCTTTAGCCTTTAGAACCTTTAGATCTTCTTTCTTATACTTATATGGTAATAAGGGGGACAGACTGCAATTAGGTTAGCAAAAAAGAAAATAAGCAATACAAAGTATGTGAAAACCTGAAAAGGGAACGCAACAAAACAGAAAACAAGGCTGCAAGAAGCCTTCGTCAGCCAACAAACAACAGAAAAACAGAATTAAATTTAAAAAAATCACAATTCTTTTGCTGCCCTCTGGGATACTACTTTTCAGCTTGGATAAGTGATAATTTAAAATTTAATTCTGCTTTTTTTTGTTGTTTATTTGCTGATGAAGGCTTCCTGCCTACACGCTTGTTGTTTTCTTGCTTTTCTTTTTCTGGTTTTCACATATTTTGTTTCAATTTCAATCATTTCCTTTCTTTCCTTTCTTATTCTTAGACTTAATTTTTAAATAATTTAAATTTGACATTTGAAACTGGGTTGGCTGGTTGGAAACTGCACTAGTAGCCTGTTTACACTTTACACAGAAATAGATTAGCCAGATAACTGTCAAACTTTTGGCTATTTCCATAAACTAGAACTATTCATACTCGTGTCATGATATGATTTCATTTTAATACTATGATTTTACTTACATTAAATCGTTTTTTCAAGCCTTCGCCACCTATGCTTTCATACCAAAACATCGTCATATCTGTAATCAGGAACTCATACGAATTGTCATCAAATTTAATCTTGAATAAATACTTGTTAGCATTATCAATATTTAACTGTTTCCATGGAGATGAATGCAAATTCGGTTTCCATCGCCTTCTCCACTGCAATTCTGTTGACATTTTACTTGGGATTTGAGAAGACCGGCTCAAAATGTACTTTGATTTGGACTCATAGTTTACCACCTTATTAATTAATAGCCTTGCCGTATGGATAGAACCCAAACCGGAAATTGTCATCGCCACAATCATTAGAATGGTAACAAAAAAGGGGACGTAACCATTATAAAACAAAACGGAATTAATTATGAGTTATAGTACCTAAAGAATCTCCCATTTCATGCACAGTTTGCTATCTTACGTTGACAATATCAATAATGGTTTGTCGGCGTCTATATTTAATGATTTTATTTTTTTTAAACCGATGTTGAATTCAAATTGAAACTTGAATCCGTATGGCGTCACTGCTAAACTACCACATCTTTCCAAAACAGACAACTCATGTCATGTATTTAAGTTTAACTTTTGCCTGTCTTCATCAAGATATGTGTTATCCCCCCCCCCTCCAAATTAAATACATATATAAAAAAAAATATACCGGGTATATATAAACTCCAACCCTCCCTGGTTTAGCAATATATGCCACATTTTCATTGACATAGACATACACTACATGCAGTACGGTATCACAAATATTCCATGCCATGCATACCAGTTCTTCTTATATCCTATCCCTTGCCCCTGATCCAATAACTCTCACTACATTCATTATACCTCTCAACTCTCATCCCCTAACTTAACTCCTTCTCAAACTTCACACTATTCCTACATCTCCAACCCTCAACCCTACACTGCCTAACCCATGACCATACCCTACCATCTCACCCTAACACTTACCCTTTCCTCAAATTACCCCTAATTTAAAAAGTATGATTTAATAAAAATAACACTTATGGTACATGGAGAAAGAAAGAGAGATGGACAGAAAAAAGGAAAGCGATAGAGCAGTGTCATTACAATGGGATGTGGACCGCACAAGAGTGTTATCAAAATTAAGTTTCGTACAAATGTCTGTAATTTCTACTGACACTATCGAAATACTGTTTTTTTGGGTCTTCTTAACTGATCCCTATAACTACTACTAGCACCGTCTTTTAGGTTCAAATGTAACACAGCAACTCTTTGCAATAAAAGTCATGCACTCCAAATACTACAGGCAGCAACACTTCATAAATAAAATAATGCTATTCACCTTTATTCTTGGTACTGGCAAGACATCATTATTATATAGCACACAACACTGGTCTCATGGGGACTAACATTTTTTAGCCTCTTAGACAACAAAGACTCAATGTGAAGTAACTTCCACTAGCCACACACTTCTGGCCACTGTACATGAACTACTGGGCTACTTCAAGCACTAAATGTGACTCCATGTGAACTCTAGTGTACTAACTCTTAACTCTGTGAACCAAATCTCAACTCCTAATAAACTAACTCTCTTCTTGTTTTCACACACTTACATTATAGCCTACACACTTGTTTATTATACTTTTCTTTTCATCCAGTCACAGTTAGCCGCAATAATACCCCTAACACTCACAACCAGGGAGACAACAAGCTCACACTAACAACAGTCATTCTCATACCCTTGACAGGTGTCAACCCCTTTAATGAACCATTAACATTAGCAAATCCTTATTCATAATTCTGTTTTTTAAACAGCAAAGAATCCCTAGAGTAGTGATTGCAATAGTAAAAACAAATAAAATATAGTTTTTTTTTCAGACCTTAAGGAGTTGCAAGTTGGGACTTGGAAATTTTAAGTTGTAATAAAATCAATGAAAAATCTCTATATTCTCCTTTTTGAGAGAAGCGCCAAAGTAAGCTCCACCCAAAATCATCAATCAGACTTAGGCAGGTACTGCAAAGGGCTAATAATTAATCTGTTGGTAGAAGATTTGTTATTTTTTGGCATTAGCCAAATATTAGACAAAATAAGTGTTGTTTTAACTTTGCCTGCATGACTTTAAAGATAGGAAATGCTCTTTCTCTCAGCCCCCTTTTTTTCCTTCAAACTATTAATTTAATTAATGTCAGATAATTTTGCCAACATGAAAAATATTTTTAAAATTATTTACTTTCTTCAAAGTGAAAATCTAGACTAAACTTTTAGATTTTTCATATCATCGATAAAATTTGCCCAACATATTTACTATCATGTGCTCAGAATGTTTATTTGTCCAATCAAGTTGAAATGGATTTGCTACTGGTACTACTAGTAAAATTAATAGGCCTAAATTGCAGTGTTGTTTTCACTGGGTTTAAGCTTTTAAAATTTTGGATTTTTAAATAAAAATTATTTAGGTCATAATAAATAGTTACACCAGGTGAAACCATTCTTAGTAATGCATCTGAGAAAGTTAATTTTTGTTAAAGATGGCACCTGACAGTTCTAACACTATTCGAAAATAAACATAACAAACTATTGAGTAATCTTAAATAATACTTTATTCAATTTATAGTGATTATATATCTTTGAAAAATAAAAATAAATATAATAAACTTAGTTGCTTTTGGTTGTTGTTTGGGGTATTTTGGCAACATTTGTAGAACATAAGTAAAAAAAGTGTTCTTTCTAATTAATTTAATAATATTATTCAATGCAAATGTTTATTTATAAAGTAAATGGCAATAAATATGGCAGTGAAAAAACATAGGAACAATATTATAAATTAAATGTTCTTTTTTTGCCAGGATAATGTCTGGGAGGAAAAATATAAGATTCCACTGAAGGACTTTATAACATCTTTACTTTATTACATCTTTACTTTATTACATCATTACTTTATTACATCTTTACTTAAAAATGTTAATGATGTGAAATTTCATGTCTCTGCTTTTCATAAATTCCTTGGAAAAAAAGTTTACATCAGTTTAAATGTATAAAATATGAATTAGAAATTTTAAAAATTTAACAGTTGTGCAATAAATAAATAAAACAAATTAAAACTGAAGCCTCATGATTGTGCTTTTGTTGGCGATATAAAAGTATGTAAATCTTAAATTAAGTTAGCACTTATAACCCTTTACTACAATTTAATAATATTCTTTATAAATGCATAATATATTGGGAACAACACCAATTTAGTACAATATATAATTATGTTTATAAAAACATAAAGTTGTAAGAACAAAAACCTTTTATTACAATATGATAATTATGTTTATAAATGCATAATGTTGTAAGAACAAAAACCTTTTGTTGCAATATGAAAATACTTAATGATAATGGTCCTTAAAAGTACTGATATAACAAAAACTTTCCTGAGAAGGTCGCATTGGGAATGGAAAAAAAATGCGTACAGGTATTTTTAGATAAAAGAAGTCAAGAGAGGCCATGTATCACACACAAAAAAATGTATGAAAGAAACATTAATTGATTAAAACAAGAAAATGGAAAAAACTCTAAATAAACAAATTTAGTTGTCAAATTTATGATGTAGACAGTGTGTGTGATTCTACAGACATTTTATAAAACAATGATTTAGCATTACTCATTAGAACAGATGGAGCATCAAATTCAACAATCATTCCGTTGTCCAACACAAGAATTCTGAGGACAAAGAAAGATGACATTTACTTATCTCTATACAGCATTTATTTAATTCTATGTACAAAAAATAATTGGTAAATGTATTTTTTAAATAAATTTTATTATTATATTTCTATCATCTAGGATATCAATATACTATGCTGCGCACATAAAATTAATTTAATTTAATATTTATTTTCTTACCAATAACGCAATATATACAATTAAGTAAGATTTTATATAGGTGAATGAAAAATTTGTTTAAACATGTGACAGTATGGAATGGCACCATACATTTACTATTGTATTATTTTATTTTTGACTGTGATAAATAACTTATCAAAATGGATATGGGATCATTTGTGATATACCTGTCATAATCCATGATAGTGTTTAACCGATGAGCTATAGTCAGGACTGTGCATGCCTTAAACTCTGACCGTATAGTCTTTTGTATCAACTCATCAGTTTCAACATCCACGGCAGCTGTTGCCTCATCCAATACCAAAATTTTGGTTTTTCTCAGTAAAGCTCTCCCTAGACACATTAGCTGTCGTTGGCCAATGCTAAACATAAAGTAAAGAGAAAAAAAATTCTGTTTCAATTAAAGTCCTTTTCAAGTTTCAAGATTAAATCCTTTATTTAGGATCTTGGGGTTTCATTTTTTATGCTCAGGCATTCCACCTGGAATGACAGATAACAAAATAAGAAATCCATTGCAGACTTCGGTTCATAAATTAGGTACAGTTACAGTTCAAATACTTCAAACAAATTCTGATAATTTGAACTATTGCAATACCGCATATATTTTTAGCTAAGTGTCCTCTATGCATTTGTGGAGGCGTAATTATAAAATTTAATTAAAACTATACCCATTTAATTTCTTTAAAGAATCTAACCTTAAATTATTTCCACCCTCTCCAACTTGGAAGTCAAGGCCCTCTGTTAATTTTTCTACAAAATTTTTAAGGTGACAGTGATCCAGAGCTTTCCAGATATCTTTATCAGAGCTCTTCCCAAAAGGGTCAAGGTTTGTCCGAAGTGTGCCAGTAAATAACACAGGGTCCTGAAGTAGACAATACAAAGCACACATGTTTAAAGGAGGGAGAAAATTGGGAACTAATGACATAGACAAAAAAAAATATTAACGTATGGATGAAATGTTCAGAAATTGAAAAGTGTGCCTTTAAAAAATTAACATAAATGGTTTGAGATGCCCTATTCTTGATAATTACAACTCATGTTGAGGATAACCGAAACACGTTTTTTTTACAAAAAGTCACCAAAGTATTCAAATTACCTGTGGTAAAATGGTCAGTTTCTGTCTTAAGTCATACAGTCCTAGTTTGGATACATCAATACCATCTATGATGATCTGTCCTTGACATGGTTCCACTAGACGAAACAGGACTAGCATTAAAGATGACTTGCCTGCACCAGTTCTACCCACGACTCCAATCTGCCCAGTTAAGATGTAGGAAATCGAAAAAAATGAATTATATATTGATTAGACAGTTAATATCAACCTATTAATATTAATATGAATGAATTTTTTTATTTATCTCAAGTTTTTTAATGAATTTTTATATCAAACAAATATTTTTTAATCCTCTTCATAAAACAGATTTTTTAT